GAGGTCGGCTACCTCGACTACCTGCGCCACCGGCGCATGCTTTCCAGCCGCTTCGGAGGCACGGCATGAGCTCCTACATCTCCCTGCCGATGTTCGGCGCCAGCCTGGGCCAGCGTCTGCGGCTCGAGGCGGCGCGCTGCCGGGGCTGCGACACGCTGATCTACCCGCAGCGTCCGCAGTGCCCCGGCTGCGGCGGTACCGACTTCGCCGTCGAGGCGCTGTCGGGCGAGGGTCGCCTCTACACCTTCACGGTGATCGCGCGCGGCGGCGCCCCGGCGGAGTTCGACGACCAGCAGACCATGACCGGCACCATCGTGGTCGGCGTGGTCGAGCTGCGCGAGGGGCCGCGAATCATCGCCCAGATCGCCGACGCCGACCCCGACAGCCTGGCGATCGGCACACCGCTGCGCGCCGAGGTGCGCCGCCTCTACGACCAGGAAGGCGTGGTCCGCTACGGCACCAAGTTCGTGCCCCAGCCGGCGGCGTGACGCCGCCCGGCCCAGCGGCCGCCCGGCCGGGGCCCAGCCGGCGGGCGGCAGGTCCGCAGGACTCAGGCCGGCAGGCTCAGCACGACCTTGCCGATCAGCCGGCCGCTCTCCATCAGGCGGTGCGCCTCGGCGGCCTGCGCCAGCGGGACGCTCGTCTGCACCAGCGGCGCGATGCGCCCGGCCTGCAGCAGCGGCCAGACGTCGCGGCGAAGCTGGCGCGCGATTTCGGCCTTCTCCGTCAGGCTGCGCGGGCGCAGGGTCGAGCCGGTCCAGGTCAGGCACTTGGTCATCAGCAGCTTGGCGTCGATCGTCACCTCGCTGGGCTTGAGGAAGGAGACCTGGGCGAGCCGGCCGTGGGTGGCCAGCAGCCGCAGATTCTTCGCCACGTAGTCGCCGCCGACGATGTCGAGGATCACATCGACCCCGGCGCCGCCGGTGGCCTCCAGCAGGACCGACTCGAAGTCCGCGCGCTCGCGGTCGACCGCCAGCACGGCGCCGAGCCTTCGGCAGACCGCGCACTTCTCGGCGCCGGCGGCGGTGGCGTAGGGCGTGGCGCCGAAGGCGGCGGCCAGTTGCAGCGCGATGCTGCCGATGCCCGAGGTGCCGCCGTGGATCAGCACCCGCTCGCCCGCCTTCAGGCCGGCGCGCATGAAGAGGTTGTACCAGACCGTGAAGAGGGTCTCGGGCAGCGCCGCGGCGGCAAGGTCGTCGAGGCCGGCCGGGATCGGCAGGCACTGGGCGGCCGGAGCCGTGCAGAACTCGGCATAGCCGCCGCCGGGCGTCAGGGCGCAGACCGCCGTGCCGACCGCCGGCCAGTCGACCTCCGCCCCGACGGCGGCGACCCTGCCCGCCACCTCCAGGCCCGGCACCGGCGAGGCGCCGGGCGGCGGCGGATAGCTGCCCTGGCGCTGGCGCAGGTCGGGACGGTTGACGCCGGCGGCGGCGACGCGGATCAGCACCTCGCCGGGGCCGGGCTCCGGCGCCGGGCCCTCGCGCAGCACCAGCACCTCCGGGCCGCCGGGGTGGGCGATGTCGATGTAGTGCATGGGCAAAGCTCCTCAGGCCGGCGCGCCGAGCGAGGCGCCGCCGCAGACGAACAGCGTCTGGCCGGTCACGAAGCCGGCCTCGGGCGCGGCGAAGAAGGCGACGGCGCGCGCCACCTCCGCCGGGCTGCCCATGCGGCCGACCGGGATCGACTCCACAATCTTGACGGTCTGCGGCGCCCCGGGCGGGTTGTTGGTGCGGAACAGCTCGGTCTCGATCGGGCCGGGCGCCACCGCGTTGCAGGTGATGCCGTCGCGCGCCAGCTCCTGCGCCCAGGTGCGGATCAGCCCGATCATCCCGGCCTTGGTCGCGGCGTAGGCCGTGCGGTTCGGCTTGCCCAGGGCGGCGCGGCTGGCGATGCCGACGATGCGTCCGTAGCCGTGGCGCCGCATCGCCGGCAGGGCGGCCTGGGCCGCCAGGATCGCCGAGGTCAGGTTGACCTCGGCCAGACGCGCCATGTCCTGCCAGCGCGTCTCGGCCAGGCTCGCGTTGATGCACTGGCCGACGTTGGCGACCACGATGCCGAAGCTGTGGCGCGCCGCCAGCTCGGCCAGCAGCGCCTCGGCCGCCGCCGGGTCGGCGAAGTCCACTTGGTGGCCCTCGACGCCGGCCGGCGGATCGGCCAGCGGCGCGCGGTCGAGGGTAACCACGCGGCAGCCCTCGGCGGCGAGGCGGTCGACGATCGCGCGCCCGATCCCGGCGCTGCCGCCGGTCACGAGCGCGGTGGCGCGATGGTGCCGGTCGGGTTGTGGTCGGTCGCGATGCGGCTGGTCGGGGGCGGGCGTCTCGGTCATGGTCGCAGTCTCTCGGTTGGACGAGGAAGAAGGAGATCCGGGTGTCGGAGGTAGAGGAGGCAGCGGGGCCGCCGCCATCGGACGACGGCCAGGCGCGCGCGCCCTGGCGCGACCGGCTGGCGGGCGTGGCGATCCTGGTCATCTGGGTGGGCGTGCTGACCCTGGCGCTGAGCGGCCGGACGCTGCTGGTGCCGGCCACCGTGGGCGCGCTGGCGCTCTACCTGCTGCTGCAGGCCGACCGCCTGAGCCGCACGGCCTGGCTGCACCTCGGTGCCGGGGCGGCCATCGCCGCCGTCGCGGTGCTGCAGTTCCAGGTGAGCGGGGACGAGCTGGTCACGGCGCTGTCGCGTGCGGCCTTCCTGGCCGCCCTCTTCTCGGCCCTCGGCGCGCTGCGCGAGGCGGCGCGCAGCTCGCCGACGATCCTCGACACCGGCCGCCTGCTGGCGCAGCAGCCGCCCGGCCGGCGCTACGCGGCGATGAGTCTGGGCGGCACGCTGTTCGGCGCGATCCTCAACTTCGGCGCGGTGGCCCTGCTCTGCGGCATGGTGCGCGACTCCAACACCCTGGAGGCCGCCGGCGGCGACGCGCGGATCCAGGCGATCCGCGAGAAGCGCATGCTGCTCGCAGTGCTGCGCGGCTTCTCCACCCTGATGTTCTGGTGCCCGCTGACCGTGGCCTACGCCATCGTGACCACCGCGGTCGCCGCGGCCTCCTGGCCGGCCATGGTGCTGCTCGGCACCCTGGCGACGCTGGGCGTGCTGGCGCTGGGCTGGCTGCTCGACCGCCTGACCATGCCGCGGCCGCGCCGCCGCGCCGATGTCGAGCCCTTCCACTGGCGCAGCCTGGCGCCGCTGCTGGGCCTGCTGGCCCTGGTCTTCGGGCTCGCCCTGCTGGTCGAGGAGACGACCCAGGGGCAACTGGTGCACGGCGTGATCCTGGTGGTCCCGTTGATCGCCCTGGGCTGGATCGCGCTGGGCAGCGGCTGGAGCCAGAGCGCGCTGCGTATGGGGCGCTATCTCTCGCGCAGCGTGCCGCGGCAGAACGGCGAGATCGCCGTGCTGGGCAACGCCGCCTTCCTGGGCGCGGTGATTGCGGCGCTGCTGCCGCAGACCGGGGTGCAGGCCCTGCTCGACCGGGCCGAGCTGCCGGCCGTGGTGATTCCCGCCGTCCTGCCCTGGCTGGTGGTCGGCGTGGGACAGCTCGGCGCCAACTCGCTGATCACCGTGACGGTGCTGGCGGCGGTGATCGGCGATCCCGCGCGCTTCGGCGTCGACCCCACGGTGCTGGGGCTCAGCCTGGTGATCGGCTGGGGCATCACCGTCGGCTCCTCCCCGGCGGCGGTGGCGACCATGATGATCGGCCGCCTGTCGGGCCGCACCCCGGGCGCCATCGGGCGCGGCTGGAACGGCGTCTATACCCTGCTGGCACTGCTGTTCTGCTCGGCCTTCGTGGCGCTGCTGCATCTGCTCTGGTAGCGGCGCTTCAGGCCGCGCAGGCGGCCCGCGCCTCGGCCAGGCTGCAGCCCTCGGCCCGCAGCAGCAGCTCGGCGGCCGCCGCTTCGCGCTCGGCGGAGTCCGGCGCGAGCGGGTCGCGCGGGCTCAGGCGATGGTCGAGCACCAGGCGCGCCAGCACCAGGCGGCGGGCATCGCCCGCGCGCTCGGCCAGGGCGGCCCCCTCCAGGGCGAGGATGGCGGCGGTCGCGGCGTTGTAGAGCGCGCTGGCCGCCTGGCGCGCCAGCCGCTCGCCAGGCGCGCCGGCCGCGCAGGCGGTCTCGACCAGGCTGGCCGCCGCGTCCAGGCGCGCCACCAGCTCGCTGCGCAGGTCGGCCGGCACGGTCTCGGCCTCGGTTAGCCGCGTGGCCAGGCCCCGGGTCAGGACCCGGTGCGCCTCCAGCTTGCGGGCGGCGCGCAGCACGTCGAGGGCGACGATGTTGCTGGTCCCCTCCCAGATCGAGCCCAGGTGGGCGTCGCGCAGCAGGCGCGGGTTGATCCACTCCTCGATGTAGCCGCAGCCGCCGCGTACCTCCATGGAGTCGGCGGTCACCTTGCGGGCGTCGCGGCAGGCGCGGAACTTGATCAGCGGCGTCAGCGCGCGCAGCCAGGCCGCCGCCTCGCGGTCGCCGGCGTCGGCGCGGCCCATCACCTCGGCGGTGAACAGCATGATCGACAGCGCCTGCTCGCCGGGCAGCAGCAGCTTAAGAAGCTGGCGGCGCATCAGCGGCATCTCGATCAGGCGCCGGCCGAAGGCGCTGCGCTGGGTCGCCACGTGGTGCGCCTCGTGCCACGCCCGGCGCATCAGGCCGGCGGCGCGCACCCCATTGGACAGGCGCGAGACGTTGATCATCTCCGCCATCTGCTTGAAGCCCTCGCCGAGCGCGCCGACCAGGTAGGCCGTGGCGCCCTCCAGCGCGATCTCGCCCGAGGCCATGGAGCGGGTGCCCAGCTTGTCCTTCAGGCGCACGATCCGGTAGGCGTTCGGCCGCGCCGCGCCGTCGGCACCGGTCACCTCGCGCGGCATGAGGAAGAGGCCGAGGCCGCGGGTCCCGGCCGGTGCGCCCTCGGGCCGCGCCAGCACCATGGCCCAGGCCGCGTCGGGGTTGGAGCAGAACCACTTGTCGCCGTAGAGCCGCCAGGCGCCGCCGTCGCCGTCGCCGTCGCCGCCCTCGGGCCGTGCCGTCACCGTGCCGGCGCCGACGTCGGAGCCGGCGCCCTGCTCGGTGATGAACATGGCGCCCTGGGCCAGGGCGTCGAGGTCGGTGGCCGCCAGCCCCGGCAGGGCGCGCTCGACCAGCTCCGGATCGCCGAAGCGGCGCAGGGTGCGGGTCAGCGCGTCGGTCATGCTCAGCGGGCAGCACAGCCCGAACTCCGACTGCACCAGCAGGAAGGTCAGGGCGTACTTGCCGGCCGGCGGGATCGGCTCCGGCCAGCCGAGCACGCCGCCGCGGTGGGACATCGCGGCCAATCCGAACTCGCCGAAGGCGATCTGCTCCAGCTCGCGGTAGGCCGGGTGCTTCTCGATCCACTGGCGGTCGCGGCCCTGGCGGTCGCGCTGATGCAGCACCGGCGGGTTGCGGTCGGCGGCGTGGGAGAGCGCGTCGAGGCGCGTGGTGACCATGGCGCCGAGCCGCGCCAGGTGCGGGCGCAGATGGGCGTAGAGATCGGCCGGCAGGTAGAGCGCGAGGAGCTGGCGCAGCGCCGGGTCGCCGGCCCAGAGGTCGAGGCCGCGGGTGTCCGGCAGCGCCGTGGCGGCCGCCGCCGGCGCCGGGTCGGTCGGGGGCGTGGGCTCGTCGGGGTCTCGCAGCGCCGCCTGGCTCATGCCGAGGTCTCCATTTCCGCCGGGCGTTCCGCCTCGTCTTCGGCGACCAGGATGCCGGCGGCGACCAGGTCGGCGATCTGCTGCTCGCTCCAGCCGCGCGCGCGCAGCACGGCGCGGCTGTCATGGCCCAGGGTTGCCGGGCGGCGCTGCACCCCGCCCGGCGTGCGCGACATCTTCACGGGGATGCCGGTGCCGCGATAGCCGTCGCGCTCCACCACCATGTCGCGGAAGCGCGTGTGGGGATGGTCCAGCACCTCGGTGACCTCGCGCACCGCGCCGGCGGGCACTCCCAGGCGCAGCAGCGTCTCGGTCAGCTCCTCGGCCGTGTGGTCGGCCAGCAGCGCGACCAGCTCGGCGCGCAGCGCGTCGCGGTTCTCCACCCGCCGGGCGTTGTCGAGAAAGCGCGCGTCCTCGGCCAGCTCCGGCTTGCCCAGGAACTTGCAGAGAATGGCGAACTGGCGGTTGTTGCCGACCGCCAGGAAGACCGGCTTGGTCCGGGTCGGGAACTGGTCGTAGGGCGAGATGTTGGGATGGGCGTTGCCGATCCGCCGCGCCGGCTTGCCGGTCATCAGGGCGTTGGCCGCCTGCGGGTGCAGCAGCGCGATGGCGCTGTCGTAGAGCGAGACGTCGAGTTTCTGGCCCTGGCCGCTGCGCTGCCGCTCCAGCAGGGCCATGAGGATGCCGATGGCCGCGGTCATGCCGGTGCCCAGGTCGACGATCGGGGTGCCCATGCGCAAGGGGCCGCTGTCCTCGGTGCCGTTGACGCTCATGGTGCCGGACAGCGCCTGCACCACCGCGTCGTAGCCCGGCAGGCCGCCCATCGGCCCGGCGTCGCCGAAGCCGGTGATGTGGCAGTAGACCAGGCGCGGAAAGCGCGGCTGCAGCACCTCCTCCCAGCCCATGCCCCACTTCTCCAAAGTGCCGGACTTGAAGTTGTGGATCAGCACGTCGGCCGACTCCAGCAGCCGGAACAGCACCGCGCGTCCCTCCGCCTTGGAGAGGTCGAGGGAGACGAACTCCTTGTTGCGGTTGGCGCCGGAGAAGTAGGCCGAGAGGCCGTCGTGGAAGGGCGGGCCCCAGCCGCGGGTCTCGTCGCCGGTCGGCGGTTCGATCTTGATCACTTCGGCGCCGTGATCGGCCAGGATCTGGGTGCAGTAGGGACCGCCGAGCACGCGGGTGAGGTCGATCACCGTGGTGCCGGCGAGGGCGCCGAAGGCGGAAGCGGGCAGGGTCATGGCGTCGCGGACTCCAGTGTGGGGCCGGCCGCGGGCACCGCCCGGGCGGCGGCGCCGAACAGCTCGGCGGCGAAGCGGGGGTAGGTCTCGGCGATCTCCGGCGCCACGCGCCGGCGCAGGGTCGCCAGCTCGGCGGCGTCGGGCAGCGGCGTGGTCGGGACCCGCTCGGGCAGGTCGAAGTCGAAGCCGGTGTTGTCGCGCACCTCCTCGACGCTGTGGCCGGGATGCACCGAGACCAGGCGGAAGCGCCCGCGTGCGGCGTCGAAGCGCAGCACGCACAGGCCGGTGACCAGCGCGTGCGGGCCGCCGCGGCGGTAGACCCCGGGCGCGCTGGTGCCGGGGGCCGAGACGTAGTCGACGCGCGGCACGAAGATGCGGCGGTTGTGCTCCTCGCGGAACAGGATGACGCGGGGCACCACGAAGTAGAGGTAGGCCGAGCCGAAGGCGCCGGAGAAGCGGGCCTTGGGCCGGGCCGGATCGCCGATGCAGGTCAGGTTGATGTTGGCCTGGCCGTCGATCTGGGCGCCGCTCAGGAAGAAGGCGTCGATCCGGCCCTGTCCGGCGGCGTCGAAGAGCTCGCGACCGCCGTCGGTGAAGTAGTTGTGGCGGCGGCTGCCGAGCAGGGTGACCCGGGTCCGCCCGCCGGACAGCGCGCGGGCCAGCAGCGCGGCGCTGCCGGGGATCGGCGAGAGCGCGCCGACCGCCACGTTGCCGCAGCCCTGCAGCAGACCGGCGATGGCGGAGATCACCACCTCGCGCCGGTCGATCGTCTGCGGGGCGGTCTTGGGACCGCTCGCGTCGTTCATGCCACCAGCTCCTCCGCCAGACCTTGGCGCACGGCCGCGAAGGCGCCCGGCCAGTCGCCGGCCGCGCCGGCCTCTGCCCAGGCGGCGACCACCGCCGGCTCCGGGGCGTAGAGATCCTGCAGGCCGAGCGGGCGGGCGCCGCCGGGCACGACGGAGAGCGCGGAGACGTAGAGCGCCGGCAGCACGCCGGCGGCCGTGACCTCGCAGTCCAGCAGGTCCTCCTCGACCAGCTCCTCGACGGTCACCAGCGTGGTCCGCGCGGCATGCGCGAGGCTGGCCAGCTCGCGGCGGCGGCCGATCCAGACGTTGCCGAAGCGGTCGGCGCGCGGCGCGTGGAACAGCGCCATGTCGGGCCGGATCGCCGGCACCGCCAGGATGCTGCGGTCGTCCGCCTGCTCGGGGAAGGGGTTGTCGATCACCCGCCAGTCGGGCCGGCCGGCCAGCAGGTCGGAGCCGATGACACCGCGCAGCGGCATGAAGGGCACGCCCTTCTCGGCCGCCTGAAAGCCGGCGTGCAGGGCCGGGCAGGTGGCGTCGAGCAGGCGCAGGCGCCCGGCCTTTGCGGCCTGGGTGAAGGCGGGCGCCAGCCCGGCCTCGCCCAGAGTGACGGCCGCCGTCTCCACGGTGCTCACGCAGCCCGCGGCGATCAGCATGTCGGCCTGCAGGCCGCTGCTGGGCAGACAGATCAGGTGCAGATCCCGCGGCGGTCGCTCCAGCAGCGCCAGGGTCGCCGCCACGGCCACGCCGCCGTAGTCCGGGGGCAGCGCCAAGCGGCAGCCGTCCGCGATTGCGGCCACCAGCGACTCCAGATCCGGCGACTCTGGTCCCGGCGACAAATCGCCGCCGCCGGCTTGCCTGTCGGTCATTGCCTTTCCTCCCACCGTCGGTTGGCCGACGTTTTGCCTGCCGGTCTTGCTGCCGGCTTTCGGCTCTTGGCGCGGTCGGGCCGCTGTCGTTCTTGCCCGCGCGTCGTACGCGCGACCCGCTGCGCTGGACGGCGCCCGTCGGATACATTTGAACTCTTGCATCGGCCGGCCCGGCGAGTCACGGTAGCAAGTGTAAAACGCTATTCCAAAGACCGAAATAGGCGCCTTGAAGGCGTTGAAAAACAATAAAAAAATATCGCCGAAAGGCAGCTATGCGGTTGCGCGATGCCGCACTTCGAACACCGGGCCGGTCGGACGGCGGGGCCCGGCAAGCAAGTCGAAGAGCCTGAGGGAGGACATGTCATGGAGTTCGGGGTCACCCGAAAGTTCGCGACCGGCCTGGTCGCCGCGATGATGCTGGCCGGCGGCTCGGCCGGCGCGCAGGACGTCAGCCTGCCCGATACGATGATGTGGAGCGCCTACGACGTCGGCTCCAGCGGGTACACCGAGGCCTCGGCCGTGGCTGACGCCATGATGAAGGAATACGGCACGCGCATCCGGATCATGCCGTCCGGCACCTCGATCGGGCGCCTGCTGCCGCTCAAGACCGGCCGGGTGCAGTACGGCTGGCTGGCCAACGAGGTCTACTTCGCGACCGAGGCGATCTACGATTTCGCCTCGCGGGAGTGGGGGCCGCAGGACCTGCGCGTGCTGATGGGGCGTCCGGCCGGTTTCGGCCTGGGCTGCGCGGCCGACGCCGGGATCGAGTCGATCGCCGACATCGCCGGCAAGCGGGTCTCGCGCATCCAGGCCAACCCCTCCGTCAACATCAAGGTGGAGGCCATCCTGGCCTTCGCCGGGCTGACCTGGGACGAGGTCGAGGTGGTCGAGGTGCCCTCCTACGGGGCCGCCCTGCGCGGCGTGGTCGAGGACACGGTCGACTGCGCCGGCGGCGTGCCCACCGCCGGCATCTTCCGCGAGCTCGAGGCCTCGAACCGCGGCATCACCTGGCCGGCGCTGCCGGCCGACAACGAGGCCGCCTGGGAGCGCCTGCGCGGCGTGGCGCCCTTCTTCTCGCCGGCCACCGAGACGGTCGGCGCGGGCCTTTCGGAGGACAATCCCGGCTACCTGATCTCCTACCGCTACCCGATGGTCACGACCTACGCCGACACCTCCGAGGAGGCGGCCTACAATCTGGTCATGGCGATGGTCGAGACCTACGACCTGTTCAAGGGCGTCAACGCGGTCATGCCGCGCTGGTCGGCCGAGACCGCCGGGACGAGCCCGGCCGATGCCCCCTTCCATCCCGGCGCCATCCGCGCGCTGAAGGAGCTCGGCGTGTGGAGCGAGGCCGACGACGCCTGGAACGAGCAGCGCCTGGCGCGGATGGAGAAGGTGCAGGCGGCCTGGGACGCGGCCGTCGAGCAGGGCCTGGACCAGGAGATCTCCGACAAGGACTGGCCGGAGTTCTGGTCGAGCTACCGCGCCGAGCACCTGAACTAGGCGGCGCGTCAGTCGGTGGGGACGGGCGGTCCGACGGCGGGCCGCCCGTCCGCTGCAGCGGGCGAGTCCCGCGGTTTTCCGGCCGAGCGGGCCGGTCAGTGGAAGCAGAGCGGAATGAGCGAGCGCGAACCCGCGGTCACCGCGGCTTGGGGCTGGCGGCGTGAGGGCCGCGTCTCCGGCGCGGCCTGGTTTGTCTGCCTGACCCTCTCGACGGTCGGGCTGTTCGTCGCGGTCAACCAGATCTTCAACCTTCGGACCTTCGGCTTCGCGCCGATCAGCACGGGCTACTACTACCTGCTGATCGGGCTGTTCCTGCCGGTGGTCTTCCTCACCTTCCCGGCGCGCGCGGGCGACCGCGCGCGGGTGCGCTGGTACGACTGGCTGCTCGCCGCGGTCACCCTGGCGACCGGGCTTTATCTCTACGACAACGCCCGCAACATCATCTCCATGGGCTGGGACCTGCTGGCGCCGCCGCTGCCGACCGCGGTCTCCGGCCTGCTGGTGCTGCTGGCGCTGGAGGGCGTGCGCCGCTGCGGCGGCACGGCGCTGCTGGTGATCTGCGGCCTCTTCGCGGTCTACCCGCTGTTCGCCGGCTCCATGCCCGGCTTCCTCTGGGGCAGCGAGTACAGCCTGGCCGAGACCGCCCGGGCGCACGGGATGGGCATCGAGAGCATCATCGGGATTCCCATGCGGGTGGTCTCCGACCTGCTGATCGGCTTCCTGGTCTTCGGCGTCGCGCTGACCGTCTCGGGCGGCGGCGACTTCTTCATGAAGCTGGCCACGGCCCTGCTCGGCGGCTCGCGCGGCGGGCCGGCCAAGGTGGCGATCCTGTCGAGCGGCTTCTTCGGCAGCCTGTCGGGCAGCGTGATCTCCAACGTGCTCTCGACCGGCTCGATGACCATCCCGACCATGAAGCGCTGCGGCTACCCCGCGACCTACGCCGGCGCGGTGGAGTCCTGCGCGTCGACCGGCGGCGCGCTGATGCCGCCGGTGATGGGGGCGGTGGCCTTCATCATGGCCAGCTTCCTCAACGTGCCCTACGTCGAGGTGATGACCGCGGCGGCGGTGCCGGCGATCCTGTTCTACGGCGTGCTGCTGCTGCAGGCTGACGGCTACGCCGCCCGGGTCGGCCTGCAGGGCCTGCCCCGCGGCGAGCTGCCGTCGCTCGCCCGCACCCTGCGCGAGGGCTGGGTCTATCTCTTCAGCCTCGGTCTGCTGGTCTACCTGCTGCTGGTCGAGAACATCGAGAGCATGGCGCCCTTCTACGCCGCCGCCGTGCTGATGGTGACGGCCCTGCTGCTGCGCCGCGGGCGCGAGCGGTTGAGCGTGCTGCTCGACTTCCTGGTCAACACCGGCACCAACATCGCCCACCTGATCGGCATCCTCGCCGGGATCGGCCTGATCGTCGGCTCGCTGTCGATCACCGGCGTGGGCAACGCCTTCTCGCGCGAGCTGGTGCAGTACGCCGGCGACAGCGTGATCCTGCTGCTGATCCTGGGCGCCGCCACCAGCTTCGTGCTGGGCATGGGGATGACGGTCAGCGCCTGCTACATCTTCCTCGCCATCGTGCTCGCGCCGGCCCTGGTACAGGCCGGGCTGGACACCATGGCCAGCCATCTCTTCATCCTCTACTGGGGCATGCTCTCCTACATCACGCCGCCGGTGGCGCTGGCCGCGGTGGCGGCGGCCGGCATCGCCAAGGCGCCGGCCATGGCGACCGGGATGAAGGCGATGCGCCTGGGGCTGGTGCTGTTCCTGCTGCCCTTCATGTTCGTCTACAACCCGGCGCTGATCCTCAAGGGCTCGGTGCTGGAGGTCGGCCTGGCGGTGACCAGCGCGCTGGCGGCGGTCTGGATGCTCTCCTCCGCCTTCGAGCGCTACCTCTACTTCGCCGGCCCGCTGCGGCTGTGGCAGAGCGCCCTGCTGCTGGTCGGCGCGCTGGCGCTGATGGTGCCGGAGCATCGCACCGACCTGGTCGGCGTCGCCGCGCTGGTGCTGGTCTACGGCGAGCACCTGCTGCTCGGGCGCCGCCGCCAGGCCCTTTCGCAGTAGCATCCGACTGGGAGACCGAGCGGCATGACCTTTCCGCGCGACGCCATCAACGCGACCCTGGAGCGCCTGTCGCGCCACCCCTTCTATAGCGGGCGGGTGCCGCAGCGGGTGGCCGATGCCGAGGAGTTCGCCGCGCGCGTGCCGCTGATGCGGCGCGACGACCTGGTGGCGGAGATGCGCAAGCCGGGGTTCGGGGCCTTCGCCTGTCCCGAGGCCGTGCGCATGAACTTCTCGCCGATGGGCGGCGGGCTGGTGCCGATCCTGCACAGCCCGGCCGACCTGGAGCGGATCAACGCCGCCTGCGGCACCCAGCTCGCGGCCTGCGGCATCGGCCCGCAGGACGTCTGCGCGGTGACCTTCGGCTACCACCTCTTCGTGGCCGGGCTGTTCTACCAGTCGCAGATGGAGGCGCACGGCGTCGTCTGCATCCCGGCCGGGCCGGGCGAGACCGAGCGCACCGCCCAGCTCTGCCGCGACGCCGGGGTCACGGTGCTGGCCGGCAATCCGACCTTCGCCCTGCGCCTGCTGGAGGCGGGCATGCCGGCGCCGCGCGTCTTCTTCGCCGGCGGCGAGCCCTTCACCGGCAACCGCACGCTCTATGCCCAGGTGCAGCAGGCCATGCCGGAGACCCTGCTGATCGACTCCTTCTCGCTGTCGGAGCTGCTGCCGGTGGCGCGCACCTTCCCCGGCGGCGAGGGGGTGCACGTCTTCGACGAGCTGGTGCATGCCGAGGTGATCGACCCGGACAGCGGCGCCCCGCTGCCCGAGGGCGAGCGCGGCGAGCTGGTGCTGACCCACCTGGGCAAGCAGGCGCAGCCGCTGCTGCGCTACCGCACCGGCGACCTCACGGTCCTGCGGCGCACCGCGCCGCTGCACGGCCGCACGGTCAACCTGCCGCGCGTGGTCTTCGGGCGCACCGACAGCATGGTCAAGGCCAAGGGGGTCAAGCTCTACCCCTCGGAGCTGCGCGCGGTGCTGCTGGGCGTGCCCGGCGTGACTGGCGGCCACCGCCTGGAGGTCACCGAGGCGGGCGGCCGGGACCGTCTGACGCTGCGGGTCGAGGGCACGCTCGACGAGGCCGCGCGCGAGGCGGTGCGGCGCGCCTTCAAGAGCCAGGCCCTGGTCGCCCTCGACGCCTTGGAGACGGTGGACAGCCTGCCCGAGGGCCCGGCGCTGGTGGACCGGCGCGGCTAGAGTGGTGTGCGAGCGTTTGGGCGCGCCTCGACGCGTCCGCCGGTCGCCCAGACTCACTTTCACTCCGGGCGGCAGAGCAGGCGGTGATCGCCGGGCCCACTGTGTGGGTCCGCGCGTCGCGCGCGGACGATTGGCGCGGCCCGACGCCAGGGCGGCGCGGCAGGACAGGAGCAGGAGCGAGCATGAGCGAGCAGAGCGCGGGCGGCCAGGCGGACTGGCGGCTGATCGTCGATCACAACGCCTACACCGACTTCTCCGTCTCGGTCTCGCCGGCGGTCGAGCGCGCGGTCGCCCGGGGCACGGCGCCGCCGACGGTCTACCTCAACATCTTCGACCGCGACAGCCTCACCATCGGGGTCAACGAGGACCCAACCCAGGTGCTCGACCTCGACTTCTGCCGCGCGGCGGGGATC